TATAGTTGTATGTATTTACGATTTCTTGGTCTCATTTGATAAAATGGAAGACATATTACAGAAATAGAGATGATTTTGATTGGTTTTAGCACTGGAAATGGCTTGAAACTGAGCTCAAATTAGCAGAAATGTTAAATTTTTGCCGATGTTCAAGAGTAAACAAACGGCCTCACACGTCTAATACATGCCAGCTGGTGGGTCTAATATACATTCACAAATGTGGTTATGATATTTATACAATTATTACAATATTGCATAACAGTAAATCTTCTATTTTTTGGTTTGAATAAAAATTCATTATGTGAATAAAAAATCAAAATGGAATTCATTTGTAAAGCCTCAGAACATAACTAATGAACAGAGGAAATGTTAGTTTAGTGCCAGGAATACCTACATTGTTTATTCTAGACCCTGTTTTGAAATTGGAATATTTTGAACTTTGTGTTAAATTGGCCAAATTACCAATTTCCGATCACTTTATTTTGTAGTTGAAACAGTTGACTTGGTGATTTCTTGTGCTCAGTCAATAGAATAGAAGTAATACTAGTGAAATAGCTAATAATTTGGTCGACTGGGATAATGTAATTGGCCTAAAATGGGAGTCAAAGTTGGCAAAATTGCCAATTCGTAAATATCGCTGTCACATCAAAATTCGCGAGAGCATAATTTTGTCAATTTTCCATCAAATTTTGCACTTTTTGTTTTATTACCTTCAGAAAAAGATTCTCTACCATTTCATAAGAATTTTTTTTTTTTTTTTTTTTAAATTCTTGGACCCTGGTGTGCACTTTGAAATTTAGCCTCTGTACCCTGAAAGGGTTAAATACAAGTAAATGTAAATTGTTCAATAAATAGTCAATAAACACCATTTAGCATATTAAAAAAATTTATTTAAGTAGATACTCTACAATATTTTTTATTATAATTCTAATAAAATTTCTGTGTATTGATTATGGTTGTTGCAAATACAGTATATAGCTGTGTTTTGCTCACTTGTATATGGGTTCCAGTCCAAGATAATACAACTAAGATGGCCATATTTTGTGAAGGTATTAGCTTCACATTGTTACCCACTTATTTCTTTGAAGATTTCTTAGTTATGTCAGCTTCGTGACTGCTGCATAGGATTTTAAGACCATTTCCCAAGAGGTCTCCTTTCACATTTTTTCAACATGAGAAAGATTATTTTCTTTGTATAATATTTGATTATGATTGTTTTAGTATTGAACTAAATGCTTTTTTCAATAAATTATACCGAATGTAGCTCATGTAAGCCGAGAGGCTAAACATGTTTAAAAATGATTGGTCATATCATGGATAAAATATTAGATTACATATTACCTGTATAACAAAATCTGTCATTTTGGAAATAATTTTAATTTACAAAACAAATCACTTCATTTTAATACATGGTACTATGACAGTACCCCAGCACCTCTCATTTTGGCCTGAGTGCATCAAACACTTTAACACTTGCAATGGAATATAGTTATGATGTAGGTGTATTGTCTCATTGTTCTCATATTTTTTGCCACATAGCTTTCTCATTTCATGTATTTCACTTAATGTTTTGCAAGAATTTTTTTATTTTTTTAAGATATTGACTGATTTCATTGAAACTGCACCTAGTAAAATTTTCTTCCCTTAGGACAAATATTAATATGCCTTTATAATTTTCCTAAGGCTGTAGACTGAAGTTTAATACCTTTCAAAGATAAAAATGTAACAGAGCAAAATATAGAATTTCATTCCAGTCAGAACAAATTTTAGAAATTTTCTATTAATTTTAGAGATTTTTCAAAATAGTCTTCATAATCTATGTACAAATTGGCATGAAACTATTACACATCTTGTGCAGCCCAGTTATAAGTAATGTATTGTATTGTGGTGGACCATTTCACTTCTGGTTAATATATATGTAGAGGAGGAGGAGACTGGAGGCAGTGGAGATGTTGTGTCTAAGGGAAGTGTGTGGTGTAAATACAGTGGACCCCCGGTTAACGATATTTTTTCATTCCAGAAGTATGTTCATGTGCCAGTACTGACCGAATTTGTTCCCATAAGGAATATTATGAAGTAGATTAGTCCATTTCAGACCCCCAAACATACACGTACAAACGCACTTACATAAATACACTTACATAATTGGTCGCATTGGGAGGTGATCGTTAAGCGGGGGTCCACTGTAGTATGCAGAGAATTCGTAGTGTGGAAATTAAGAGGTATGGAGTTACAAAAAATATTCAAGAGGGCTGAAGAGGGATTATTAAAGTGGTTTGGTTAGAGAGGATGGAGCAAAATAGAATGACTTGGAGGGTGTATAAATCTGTAGTGGAGAGATAGGGGTTGTCCTAGGAAAGGATGGAGGGAAGGGGTAATAGAGGTTTTGTGTGCAAGGGGCCTGGATATGCAGCAGGCATGTGTGAGCCTGTTAGATGGGAGAGAATGGAGACAATTGAAGTTTAGGACCTGACAAACTGTTGGAGTGTGAGCAGGGTAATATTTTGTGAACGGATTCAGGGAAACTGGTTAGCTAGACTTGTGTCCTGGAAATGGGAAGTACAATGCTTGCTCTCTAAAGGAGGGGTTTTTGGATATTGCCAATTTGGAGAGAGATTTAAACAGTGGTTTCTGAGTGTCCCTGCAAAGACAGTGATTATGCATAAGTGATAGTGAAAGTGTTGAATGATGATGAAAGTTTTTTCTTTCTTTTTGGGTCACCCTGCCTCGGTGGGAAACGGCTGAAATGTTAAAAAAAAAAAAAATTACAAATAGTAAAGTCCAATTCCAAGTGGATTTTGTAACTTACTCACATTTAGTGAATGTTTTACTTGTGTGGAACTATGTTTTACAACTAAACTGACACCATAATTGCATGATTCCTCTCAGTTTTAACACGGGAAGATTCTAGCAAAATTCCAGAAATAATAAATCATGTAGAACAGGACGATAATAAACTATGCATGATTGGGGTAACTAGTGAAATGGTCCTCAGACAAATAGAGAAATTAAAACACATCCCCAGGCCCTGATGAACTGTTTGCAAGGGTTTTAAAGGAATGTAAAGAGGAATTTAACATACCCTTGGCTAATCTTTTCAATATATCACTACAAACTGGCATAGTGCCAGACAAGTAGAAAATGGCAAATATAATACCTGTTTATAAGGCAGATGACAGGTTCTTAGCTTCAACCTATAGACCAATAAACCTTACCCCCATAGTGGGAAAATTTATGGAATCAATAATTGCCGAGGCAATTTGTAGCCATTTTGAAAGGCATAAATTGATTAATGAATCACAGCAGGGTTTTACAAAGGGGCATTCCTGTTTTACGAATTTACTAACTTTTTTCACTATTGTATTTGAGGAGGTAGATTATGGGTGTATTGAATATGATATTGTGTATATGGACTTCAGTAAGGCTTTCGATAGAGTTCCACATCAGAGGCTGTTGAGGAAACTTAAGGCACACAGAATAAGAGGAGGAATTTTTTCCTGGGTAGAGGCATGATTGACAAATAGGCAGCAGAGGGTTTGCATAAATGGGAAGAAATCAGAATGGGGGCACATCATGAGCGGTGTTCGACAGGGGTCTGTGTTGGGCCTCTTGTTGTTCACAATTTACATAAACAACATAGATGATACCAAAATAGGCCATTCAATTCATTCTAATGAGGACCTTAAAGCACTCAAACATGATTTGAATAGACTGATACAGTGGTTGGAGAGGTGGCACATGCAGTTTAATATAGACAGATGCAAAGTTCTAAATGTTGGACACACATGTTGCCACATATAAACTAAATAATGTAGATCTTAATATTACTGATTGCAGAAAGGATTTAGGAGTTCTGGTTAGCAGTAATCTGAAACCAAGACAACAGTGCATTAGTGTTCGCAATAAAGCTAACAGAATCCTTAGCTTCATATCAAGAAGTATAAATAATAGAAGTCCTCAGGTTGTTCTTCAACTCTATATATCTTTGGTTAGGCTTCATTTAGATTATGCTGTGCACTTCTGGTCACCGTATTACAGAATGGATATAAACGCACTTGGAAGCGTATAAAGGAGGATGACAAAGTTGATCCCATGTATCAGAAATCTTCTCTATGAGGATAGACTGAAGGCCCTGAATCTGCACTCTCTAGAAATGCATAGAATTAAAGGGGATATGATTGAGGTGTATAAATGGAAAACAGGAATAAATAAAGGGGATGTAAATAGCGTGCTAAAAATATCTAGCCTAGACAGGACTCGTGGCAATGGCTTCAAGTTGAAAAAATTCAGATTCAGGAAGGATATAGGAAAGCACTGGTTTGTAATAGTTGTGGATAAGTGGAACAAACTCCTGAGTTGTCATAGAAGCTAAGATGTTGTGTAGTTTTAAAAATAGGTTAGATAAATACATGAGTTGGTGTGGGTGGGCGTGAGTTGGACCTGACTAGCTTGTGCTACTAGGTCAGATGCAGTGCTCCTTCTGTAAGTGAATGTGACCTGACCTGACTAGGTTAGGACATTGGCTTAAGCCAGTAGGAGAATTGGACCTGCCTCACATGGGCCAGTAGGCCTGCTGCAGTGTTCCTTCTTTCTTATGTTCTTACTATGCATTCTCAAGAGAATAGTGAAGAAAGCACACAGTATCTTGTCATTTGTGATTTTACTATTCAGATTTGTCATAGAACTTTCTCACAAACAAGGGTATACTGTATTGAATACTTACTAATAGCATTTAGAACATATGCTGAAAAGTTATGCATACTGAGTTAATTAGTACTGAAATAAAGTAAGGCAAACTCCTTTCGTCATAAGAATTGTCATTGCAGCATTTATGACGTGATGTGCCTCACTAAGCAGAAATAATAGAAGTACCTTTCTGTACAGCATTATATTAATAGGAACCACTTCTTTAGCATAAACTTCAATTTAAATTGTAACTCGTCAAATTGTAGCCAGTTACAATTTAAAGTTCTTATTACTTAAAAGCCAACTCTCACCAGATGGAGTCTTCAAACCGTAGGTCTACCACTACTGAGGATTACCATCCTCTCCCACCTGGATCTGAAGCTCATTGGGAGGTAGTAGAGAGAATCCTATTTATTTATGCCAAGCTCAACCCAGGACAGTCCTATGTACAAGGCATGAATGAAATTATTGGTCCTATTTACTTCACATTTGCCAGTGACTCAAATGTGTCTCATAGAGGTAAGAAAGGTTAAGAAGTAATATGCATGGCAGGATAATTTTATACAGAGCTAAGTAAGTTCAGTTTTTTATAATACCAGTATGCAAATTACTGTACATGAATTTTTTTGTACTGCAACAGCTGTTTTCCACCAAGGTAGATGACAACAGTCTTGCCAGAAATTCACACACACACATCACTTGTCCAATTATTCTTGAAATGCTATTTTGCTCACCTTCCAACAGCATGTCAGAATCCCAAATAACACTTAATCTCAATTAACTAATCTAGTACACATACACCTGCTGGATGCTCAAGCTCCTACTACTCAAAACTTCCTTCACCTTCTCTTTCCAACTTTTTCTGTACTCTTGTTCTCTTCATGTTTGCAGTGTATGTATGTCAGTTTGCTTCTGTCAAAGACAGAATTAGTATATATTCATTATTCTCACATGATAAATGCACTTGCATGCTCCTTCTCTTAATTTATCAACTACTGTAATGAATTTGCAGTACTGTTGCTGATTTTTCACTTCATTTCATCTTGTCTTGAATGCAGTTGTCACAACACATTTTCATTTATAACACCAACAGTTTCTTGTCAAAGTAGGGTGACCTTAAAAAGGGAAACACCTTCGCATCATTCATTCTTTAGTTTACCATTTATCATAAATGAATAAAATCAGTTATAGTATTTTCTTTGTTTATATTTAATTTTAATACTACTATTAAAATTTGGTCAAGCTTCTGTATTACTGGGAACACTTTAAGTCCCTCAGACTATACTCCTTGGACTGTAGGTGAAGAAAATACATCATTTACACCTGGAAAATTATGGAGAAATGAGCCCCAAATTTGCACACTGAAATTATTCCATATGAAAATAACAGCCCTGGCAATGCAGAATAACTCCAGTGAAAGGCAGGAGTGTGATGAGCACACTGGAATTACCAACATATCCCCGACCAGCTTCAAAAGAGAACTTCCTTATCAGAGACAGTTCCTGATCAACTGGGCTGTGATGCATACATTAGTCTGTATGTGGCTGGCACAAACAGTCTGTTAAATTAGGCCAGCAACCAGGAAGCCTGGTCTAGGGCCAGGCTGTTGGGATAGTGACACTTCCCCCCCTCCTTTTCCTAAAACCAACTACAGGTAACCTTCAGGTATCCTTACTGGTAAGACTTTAGCTGATGCCCCTCAAGAGTTACACTTACAAATATTATGTAAACCTCTTAAGACAGGCTTTCACAGCCAGGTTTGAATGGTAGCAGTACCTGATTAGCTCTATATGTCACTGAAGAGCCTATACAGTTCTCTGTAGAGCCTCTACAGCTCTCTCTAGAGCCTATACAGTTCTCTGTAGAGCCTATACAGTTCTCTGTAGAGCCTATACAGTTCTCTGTAGAGCCTATACAGTTCTCTGTAGAGCCTATACAGTTCTCTGTAGAGCCTATACAGTTCTATGTAGAGCCTATACAGTTCTCTGTAGAGCCTATAGTTCTCTGTAGAGCCTATACAGTTCTCCGTAGAGCCTATACAGTTCTACGTAGAGCTTATTCAGTTCTCCGTAGAGCCTACGCAGTTCTCCGTAGAGCCTACGCAGTTCTCCGTAGAGCCTATACAGTTCTCCGTAGAGCCTATACAGTTCTCCGTAGAGCCTATACAGTTCTCTGTAGAGCCTATTCAGTTCTCCGTAGAGCCTATACAGTTTTCCGTAGAGCCTATACAGTTCTCCGTAGAGCCTATACAGTTCTCTGTAGAGCCTATTCAGTTCTCCGTAGAGCCTATACAGTTCTCTGTTGAGCCTGTATATGGCAAATAATGGAAAGAATGTCTTAATTACGATGTTTCTGAAGTTGTTCTTTATTTTATTCAGTTGATTTTTTTATGTATGGTTCATTCCATTATTGCCAGTTAAGTACGGTATGTTTCTTGTTTCAATAGTTACAAATATTTCAATCCGTTTTAATTCAAATTGTCATGATTTGACTATATACTTGTTGTTTTGTAAATATTAATACATAATTGAATTTTTATAGAAGTAAAACTTTTCATGATATTATATTGTGTATATTTTAATTTAGCTATCCTGATGTGATATTCTCTCTTAAAGAAAATGCTGAGGCTGATTGTTTTTGGTGCTTCATCTCATTGATGGGCGAGATACGTGATTTCTTCATCCGAACCCTTGATGAAAGTGAGAGCGGCATTGGTGCCATGATGGAACGTCTTATGTCTAACCTTAAACAGCACGACTATCAGTTGTGGAACCGTCTGAGAGTTCAAGAGCTACGACCTCAATTCTTCAGCTTTAGGTATAGTTCTGAGGATGTAATGGAAGGAAAATGCTCAGTATTTGTGAAACTATTTGTATAATTCATTTAAATCTTTGTAAATGCCTGATTGTAATAATGAGAGTAGAGTTATACACTTAGTTTTTCATTATGTTTTAAATTTTCATTGGTGGTAGCACGTTGTCTCCTGGATTCCATTGCAATCATCTACCACCTTATCCAAGAAGAGTTTTCTAGTCTTTTTGGCACCACTTACTTTCTCGTTTTACAATTATAGCCTCTTGTTCTCTTGTGTTCATGACCTACCCGCCTTCATATTGTATTTGTTTGCAGACTGTATTGCTCTTCAAACATTGCTGAAGTATGGTTATGGTATAGTAAGTTTTTAGTGGTATTACAATTTGTGATTGGTAGAGAAACTTATTGTGATCACCTTCAGAGGCTTCATAAAGGATAACATAATTATGTGGGGTGAGGCATGGGCTTTAACCCTTAAGCGGTCCAAACAGATCGACGTTCAAATTCGTAGTGTTACAAAAGTAGATCTACTTTTTTTACATATTTTCAAATATAACAAAAAAAAAATGTAGATAAAAGTTTTTTTTACACGTTTTCACATGTAAAACAAAAAAAAAAATCTACGTTTTTTTTACATACTTTCAGATGTTGAAAAAACGTATATATACGTTTGGACCATTTAAGGGTTAAACATTGCAGTGAGGTAGGCTAGAGGCAGTGATGCGATGTTAGAGAACAATGCAAGGAATTTGGTGTATAACAATTGGAAGATGGTGTGAAGGGTTTGGGCTCCAAATTGAGTATCAGTGTTAGTGTTGATGAGTAGCAGCTACTGTTGATGGTATCAGACTTGCTGTCAGTGAGTGATGGCATTGCTTAAAATTAAGTATTGGTATCAGCAAAAACATTAGCATCATCCCATTCCTAGTGTGAAGTTAGGAATGGCATAATTTAGAGGGCACAGGATGGGTTGTTTTGGTGGTCTGGGCATTTAAAGAGAATGAAGCAAAATAGGATGACCAAGAGGTTGTGTAACTCTGAGCTTCCATCTATACCCCCCTTCCCCTCATCCCTGTGCCTTACATTTCAGACTGTTCATGTCTGCTTAGTCAAAGTGGAAGGAAGTGTTGGAGGGTGTAAAGGAAGTCTTAAGTGGTTTTTGCAAATGTAATTTTTTTTTTTTTTTTTGTAATTCATTTTAAGCGCTTAACCCATGTGGGTCATTCAGCGCAAGACGTGGTGAAGGTTTGATCCTCCGTCTACTGGACATGTTTATGGAATGTGAACAAGGTAATATTCATGAAGGGGTACAGGAAAAATGGTTAGCTAGACTCAAGTGGAAGTACCGTGCCCACACTTGGAAAGAAAGGTGGGGATGTTATAGTTTAGAGGGTCATTTGACTTATGATGCCTTTTCAATTTTGGCTGTATGGCTATTGAATGAATGATGGTTTGTCTTATATTTTGGGTCACCGTATCTTGATGGGAGAAGGCTGATGTGATCAATAAAAGAAAATGTCATAAATGGTAACATAAGCAGCTGTCTCTTGGTTCTTATATCTTGACTTAGTTGCTAAGAGGTTACTAACTATTCACTGTAAAACTGGTGGCCAGAGTTTGTTTAGATATTATAATAATGGAGGAGTGATGAGTGGTTGTTAAGATGGTTTGGGCATTTAGAGAGGATGGAGAGAAGCAGGATGACAAAAAGGCTGTATAAATTTGGGGTGGAAAGAAGCAGGGATATAGGCCATCCCGGGAATGGTTTGAGAGAAGGAAGGAAGAAAAGCGAGGTTTTGAGTGCTGTTGGAGTGATCATCCAGCAGGTTTGTGTATATGTCAGATCAGCTCTGGTCCAGGAGAAACCAGATAGCCAGACTTGAATTCCAAAGGTGGGAAGAGTAGTTCCTGCACTCTGAAAAAGGGGTGGGGATGTTACAGTTGGAGGGTCATCTGATTTATGTTTTCAGCAGACTTTTGGCAAGACAGCAGTTGAGTAAATGATGTTGAATATGTTTTGTTTTTATAAGTGGGAGATGGCAAGTTAGGTAAAAAAATAAAATGAAGGTATTAATTATGCAAATAAACCATTAAAGCTTCTTTCTAAGTGCCAAGCGAATAGTCTGAAAGCTCAGTTTTTTTTTTTTTTTTTTTTTTTTTTTTTTGTGCTTCTGTCACGGTGCTGTTTGACCCTGGTGGTTTAGTGCTTAGTTTTGATTATAATAATAATTTTGTTGTTTTCCATTACTTTTAAATATTTTGATTGTTAAAAAGTAATTGCAATATATATTTTCATCAGAAAAGCTTCTCTGTAACAGTCTTTCAAACCATGCCTCAAATTTTTAATGATTTTATAAACTTGGATCTTTGTTTTTCCTTAATATCTCAGCTTGACTGTATTTGGTGCATTTTCAGATGGCTGACCTTGCTACTGTCTCAGGAGTTTGACCTTCCAGATGTGATTCGTGTCTGGGATTCCCTTTTTGCTGATGCCAATCGTTTTACATATTTGATCCAAGTTTGCACGGCAATGATGGTGTAGGTTAAGTTTGCAAATCTTTATTTAGAAATTGAAATATGAAATAATGTAAAAGATCAGAGTACAAGTAAATGTGTAATAAACTATGTTCTTGAAAAATAAATGCTACACATGATAATGATAGACTTAGTAAATGTTTAAATTAATAAGATACTAAATATTTTAATGTTCATCAGGATGCAGAGGGATGTGATGATGCAAAATGACTTTGCATGCAATATGAAAATTCTCCAAGTAAGTTGCTTAAATGAAATAATAGAAAGTTAATAATCAGTGATTAAATCTTGTATATAGGTCTGAGTTTGGAGTAAATTAGTGGTGACAGTCACTTGTTACATTTATTAAGTGTCCCTGACCAGGGAGAACTGTATGGCTTTCATTTGTTTTTATTAATGGTTTATGTTTGATAACTTGAGAATGCTTCTTTATATTAACCTGAAATCTTTAACACTTGTTTATGATCTTTTTTTTTTCTCAACAAACTGGCCTTATCCCACTGAGGCAGGGTAACCTAAACAGAAAAATAAAAGTTTCTCTTTTTTAAATTTAGTAATATATACAGGAGAAGGGGTTACTAGCCCCATGCTCCTGGCATTTTGGTTGCCTCTTATGACATACTTGGCTTATGGGGGAAGAATTCTGTTCCACTTCCCCATTGAGATAAGAGGAAATAAACAGGAACAAGAACTAATAAGAAAATAGAAGAAAACCTATAGGGGTATATATATATCTGCTCATACATGCATGTGTGGTGTGACCTAAGTGCAAGTAGAAGTAGCAAGATATATCTGGTATCCTGCATGTTTATGAGACAAGAAAAGACACCAGCAATTCTATCATCATGTAAAACGATTACAGGTTTCCATTTCACACTCATGTGGTAGGACGGTAGTACCTCCTTGGGTGGTTGCTGTCTACCAACCTATATTAATTGGATACTGTAACCTGCTGTTGGTAATTTTTAGAAGCTAGGAGATGTCTACCTTAGTAATGTCAAATAGACCAAGCAACACTAAATGTACATGTGATTGAAATCTCAGATTCAGTGGAACCTCCACCAACGAGTTTAATCCATTCCATGACCTTGCTCGCATCTGGATTTGCTCGTTTGCAGAGTCAATTTTCCTCATTTAAATTAATTGAAATGCAATTAACCCGTTCCATTGGAATTCTGCACTTCAATAATTTCCCTAATATCAACTCTATGGCTTATTCATCTATCACATTTCATCTAATATAACATAATAAACAATATTGTTTATAACAATATAAACAATATATTGGCAGTTTGGAGGGATATGTTGTGTATCTTTATACGTATATGCTTCAAAACTGTTGTATTCTGAGCACCTCTGCAAAAACAGTGATTATGTGTGAGTGTGGTGAAAGTGTTGAATGATGATGAAAGTATTTTCTTTTTGGGGATATTCTTTCTTTTTTGGGTCACCCTGCCTCGGTGGGAGACGGCCGACTTGTTGAAAAAAACAAAAACAAAAAAAAAATATAAATAACATAGAAACCTGATACATACTCTAGAATGAATGTCATTCATGTAGTGGCATCGTCAGCGGACGAGAGTTTGTATGGAGACCGGACAAAATACTCCTTGAATAATTTTGTTAATATCATCTATACGGCTTATTTATCTATCACAATTCATCTAATATGACATAGTAAAAAATATAAATAACATAGAAACCTGATACATACCCTAGAATGAATAAAATGTCATTATGTAACAGGTGGAGGCAGCTACAACAATTCCCACTTTGTTGTGGTAAACACTGCCATCAAGTGACAGCCTTTTGAAGCCGTCTATTATTATAATTATTGTTATATAGTACATTATTATTATACATGTATTATTGTTATATATTTTTTTTTCAACAAACCGGCCGTATTCCACCAAGGCAGGGTGATCTAAAAAGAAAAACGAAAGTTTCTCTTTTTAAATTTAGTAATTTATACGAGAGAAGGGGTTACTTGCCCCTTGCCCCTTGCCCCCGGCATTTTAGTCGCCTCTTACAACACGCATGGCTTACGGAAGAAGAATTCTGTTCCACTTCCCCACGGAGATGAGAGGAAATAAACAAGAACAAGAACTAGAAAGAAAATAGAAGAAAACCCAGAGGGGTGTGTATATATAGATGCTTGTACCCTCTGTGGGCACCTAGCTCCCTTGCAGTGCTCCTCTTTCTTAGTATTTGACTGGCCCCTCCTACTCTTACTACCTCCCCACTACTACTTCCTTCCCTCCACCACAACCACTGCTACTACTATTACTATCACCTGTCACGTCAAGGATCACAGCCATCCTATTGACTGGTCCTCTGCTAAAACTGTCTTCCCTACTTCCAACTTTAACAGTCACCGTCTGGTTAAATCCTCCCTAATACACAATTTTCCTTGTATGAATCTTAGTCCTGGTTTTGTCTGTATAGATGCCTTTCTCTCCCACTACATTGTAATATGCTCCAAACTTCAGAACACTCGTGACCTAACCTGATTCCTCCTTTTTTCTTCTCCCTCTTCCCCTTTCCTCTTTCTCCTTTGGGTTGTCTTTCTTCTGCCCTGTGTAGTTGTTCCTCCTTTCTTTATTTATTTGTTTCTCCCCCTCGATGTTCTTGCTCTTAGCCTCTGTGAGCACCTAGCTCTCTTGCAGTGCTCCTCTTTCTTAGTATTTGATTGGCCCCTCCTACTTTTACTGCCTCCCCACTACTACTTCCTTCCCTCCATCACAACCACTACTACTGCTTCCACTTCCTGCCTATATATACCCATCCTGCTCTCCTTTTAGATAGTGTGACTTTATAAATGGTCCAAGTCGGACCGAAACATCGTCGTAAGCTCCTCTCTTCTATGTGCGGGTTATTTGTGTAATGCTTGTACATGTATGTGCAGTGTGAGCTAAGTGTAAGTAGAAGTAGCAAGACGTACCTGAAATCTTGCGTGTTTATGAGACAGAAAAAAGACACCAGCAATCCTACCATCATGTAAAATGATTACAGGTTTCCGTTTTACACTCACTTGGCAGGACAGTAGTACCTCCCTGGGCGGTTGCTGTCTACCAACCTACTACCTAGGAAATTTTTTTTTTTTTCAACCGGCCGTATCCCACCGAGGCAGGGTGGCTCATAAAGAAAAACTAAAGTTTCTCTTTTTCTTTCTTTCAACACACCGGCCGTATCCCACCGAGGCGGGGTGGCCCAAAAGGAAAAATGAAAGTTTCTCCTTTTACATTTAGTAATATATACAGGAGAAGAGGTTACTAGCCCCTTGCTCCCGGCATTTTAGTCGCCTCTTACAACACGCATGGCTTACGGAGGAAGAATTCTGTTCCACTTCCCCATGGAGATAAGAGGAAATAAACAAGAATAAGAACTAGAAAGAAAATAGAAGAAAACCCAGAGGGGCGTGTATATATGTGCTTGTACATGTATGTGTAGTGTGACCTAAGTGTAAGTAGAAGTAGCAAGACATACCTGAAATCTTGCATGTTCATGAGACAGAAAAAAGGACACCAGCAATCCTACCATCATGTAAAACAATTACAGGCTTTCGTTTTACACTCACTTGGCAGGACGGTAGTACCTCCCTGGGCGGTTGCTGTCTACCAACCTACTACCTAGGACATGTATTATTTTATTATATTATTATACTATTCTTCTTTCTTTCAACACACCGGCCGTATCCCACCGAGGCGGGGTGGCCCAAAAGTTTGTCCTTTTACATTTAGTAATATGTATATACAGGAGAAGAGGTTACTAGCCCCTTGCTCCCGGCATTTTAGTCGCCTCTTACAACATGCGTGGTATTATACTATTATTCGTATTATTACAGTGGACCCCCACATAACGATCGCCTCCGAATGCGACCAATTATATAAGTGTATTTATGTAAGTGCATTTGTACGTGTATGTTTGGGGGTCTGAAATGGACTAATCTACTTCACAATATTCGGTCAGTACTGGCACCTGAACATACTTCTGGAGTGAAAAAATATCGTTAACCGGGGGTCCACTGTATTATTATTATTACAATATAAATAATTTGTAATTTTTATTCACACAAAAATAGAAGATTTACTGTTATGCAAACTACTGCATTATTGTAATAATTGTATAAATAATGTCAACCCATTCATGACTGCAAGGAATCAAGCATTTCTCCTACTTTGAGCTCAGTTTCAAGGTACTTTTCGTCATGAAACCAACCGAAATCATATCTATTTCTGTAATATATCTTCTATTCTATCAAATGAGACCAAACAAAAACAAAACAAGAAGACAGCCATAAAACCATACGAAAATACCGCTAAGGGGTGGCTAATTGCTGAGAAGTGAACTCCATTATTTAGGGTCAGATTTCTTTCATTTTTGGTGTACGTTAAGAAGCGTCTTTCCATCATACATTGCCCAAGTTTCAGTAAGATAGTCCAACAAACAAATGATATCCAATTCCCTAGATCAAGAGCAAGAGCCTCTCACCAGTGTCAAGGAACCTCCTTTGAGGCTCGCTTGCTTATGAAAATTTCGCTTGTGTTTGGAAGCAAAAAATCGACCAATCGACTGCTCGTATTTAAAAAAACTCACACGTGGATGTGTACTCGCAAGTAGAGATTCCCCTGTATTTCAAATTATGCAAAAGCATATTTTTAATATTATAAGAGCTGTTAAAGATATAGTGGGCTTTGAGCATTTGTGGCTTTGGTATTTGTGAAACTTAACTAAATACTGTATTTTATTTGGAATACCTTGTGAATATACTTGGGTATTTGCAAGTATTTACTTTGCATGTATGGAACAGATGCACCAAGCCTCATAACAAAGTAAAATAGCATAAGAAAAACAGCATAGTCAGTTAGTAGTTAATTATTTTAGAAAATTTAAAGAATACTCTGCTAATTCCTATTTTGTTAATTCTTATGTTTCTTAACCACTTTTTTTTAATAAAAAGAGGTCTTATTTTTCTTTCATTATTTTGTATTATGGTAATTTTTCTTTCTTTCCAGAATTACCCACCTGTGGATGTACAGGTGTTACTGAGCAAAGCTACTGAACTTGTAGAGAATCCTGGTGAGAATTGTTGTGATACCACTAACACAGAAGAATCAAGTTGACCCTTGGAACAAAGTGGCAGAGACAAGTAACATTGGTAGTTAGGCCTGGGAGGTGGGTTGTTGTTACAACTTTTTTATACTTTGTACAATACTGTTTTGTAGCAAAAGTGCACCATGTTAGCTTGTGCAGTTGCCAATATTGTGGCTTCAAGTAGTATGGCATAAATAATAGGAAGATGCCAAAGTTAATTATTGTATATAGGCTGGCATACATCAGGTCTTACTGGCATACCTTATTTATGTTAACAGATGTTTAAACTTATTTCCATTAATATAATAAAAGAACATAAAAATAATAATAAATACACTTCTCTGTTATTATGTTAACAGAAATCGGTTTGAATGTGTTTTCAAATAAGTAATATACTTTTGTAGGGACGGATGTGTATGCCACCCTCTTCACTGGGTAGGTACTGGGTCACATGGCTTAAATGGTATATAATGAACTAACATCTATGCATGAGAAATATGCAGAAATTTTTTTCCAGCTGGTGGAGTGTCTTGACTATTTATTAATTAGTTACATTGTTTACCTAAAAATAGTTTAATTAACCTTATTACTTATTCAGGTAAATGTAACCAATATTTTTAATTGTTATGTTTACATATTTAAATATGCTGTGACATTGGTGTTGTGACTTATATATATAATATACATGTAGATGTGTTTTATAACAATGTTGATAAAGTAATTAATAGCAGTATGTTATTAAAAGAACAAAATGTGTTCTTATTTTGAAGATCTACATTTTACACCAAATTTAATCTAACATACTCTTATGATTCAGGCTTCATATATAAGCACTTAATTTCTTTACATATCAAATATATATTTTATTCCTGTGAGTGTACCCAAAGGGACGAACATTCAAATGCTATATTATGGTACCATTAATATCTGTTTGATTTATGTTTTTTTTTTTTAACACATTGGCCGTTTGTTAAATAGGTAACGAGAATTCCTTAAAATCATTTTTATATGTAGCAGTTCGAAGATGGCTTTTTGTGGTTGCTATATCTTCAAAGCAGATTCTCATTAACTCCTGTGCACTAGTGAAACTACATAGCAAATAGTGATTTTCCGTTAAGAATTTTTTGTTAACCATCTTCAGGATTCTAGTATTTTATTGTACAATATTTTATTGGTTTTCTTCGTTTAATTTTTGTAATAACAGTATACAGAAATATTTAGCATTATTTATTTATATTACAAATCATCAAATAAAAATACTCACAATAGGGAGTTGACCCATTTCAATGGCTGTATATTCACCTTGTCCTGGAGGCCATGGCCCTTCTCCTTCAGACTCAGTCTGGCTGCCGTTCCCGAATCCTTCATAAATTACTTTGTCACCATCCATAGAATGGTCAGTATTAAAACCATTTTCTCCAAATAATCCTATGCCAACCCTCCACGCTGCCTGGATGGAACAAGCCCTACGTCACACAAACCCCTTTAAATACCCCCTCCCTCAACCCTTCCTAGGTCGACCCCTACCGCTTTCCTTTCTACAGACTGATACACCTTGATATTATTGTGTCTTTCACATACTGACACTAGTCCGAACCAACTCAACAATATCCTTCCTCAGCACCTGAGGCCAACATTTGGTAATCCCACTCTCCTAACTTCCAAAGCTACGAAATTCTGCCATTATATTCACACCCCATTTGTCCCTCAGACATGATTTTCCATGCCTCCAGCTTACCTCGGCCTAACTCATATCAAACTTCCTGGTTACATTCCTAAAAAGTGTTGGTAAAATATACTCTCATAACATTCCATTTGCCTCCAAGGAGAAAGTTCTTTGATTCCACAGATCTAAGTGCAACTGTTCTTTTTCCTCAATTCTATGTATATTATGACTCATTTAATTGTATTAATTTTTGCAATGCCAAGTACTGAATGCTGATCATTTTCCAGTATTGAATAGTTCACTCTCCATATCTCTGCCTCCAATTGATATTGCAATCTTTCACACCTAATCTTTTTGTTATCTCATAAACCTTACTCTTTCCTTATTCACCTTTACATTTCATCTTTTGGCACACCTATGCCAATTATCCACAATCTGCAACTCTCTTCAGAACCTACTAACACCGTTATCACAAAGGGGCAGCTGTGATACTCCCCTGACTTGTGTGATTCCTTATCTTTTAACTCCAACCCTCTTCTTACTTTTTTTTTTTTTTTTACATGAATTCATTTAAGACTATTAAAAGCTTAGGTATCACTATCCTTGGTCTAAGCCTTACTTTTAGGAGATTGAAAAAATTTGCCTTCTTTCCTACTACTAACTTGAAGCCCACTATCCTGTAAAAATCTTCACTTGCTTCAGTAACTACTCCTAACATCACTTGCAACATCTGCCACATTGCCCCTATCCACCCTTATACGCCTTTCCAAATCCATAAATGCCACAAAGACCTCTTAGCCTTATCTAAATACTGTTCACTTATATGTTTTACTGTTAAACACCTGGTTCACACACCCCTACCTTTCCTAAGCTCCTTTTCATTGCTATCCATCTCGTTTACTCTTAATTCTTTCAGATAAACATCCTACACTTACCAGTAACTCAACGACTTATCCCTATAATTTTTGCACTCTTTTTATCCTCTTTTGGCTTAAAAGGAACTTGTTTATTTTGCAATCCCTAGGTACCTTAACCTCTATCCTACATTTATTGAAATTATTGCACAACCAACCTAAATATCCACCTGCTTTGTTACCATGTATCTTTATCCCATCAATCCAGGCTGCCTTACCCCCTTTCATTTTACCATACTTCCTCACGAAATTCCCCCACACTTTCAAACTGGCTCTCCAATACTTACAAGACTGCTATTCCTCCTTGCCCTATACGAATACAAGCTCCCTTTCAAGAGATTTGACAATTTACTGTTTGAAAATATTCCTCCTCTTCCCAATCTCTAAACTCCCATTTAATAACTCTCCTCTCCTATTTTTAAACTGACAAATCCATTTGTTCTCTAGGCTTTCTTAACTTGTTAATCTCACTCCAAAAACTTTTTCTTATTTTCAACAAAATTTGTTGATAACATCCCCACCCACTCTCTCATTTGCTCTCTTTTTACATTGCTTCACCACTCTCTTAACTTCTCTCTTTTTCTCCATATACTCTTCCCTCCTTGCATCACTTCTACTTTGTAAAAACTTCTCATATGCTAACTTTTTCTCCCTTACTACTCTCTTTACATCATCATTCCACCAATCGCTCCTCTTCCCTCCTGCACCCACTTTCCTGTAACCACAAACTTCTGCTGAACACTCTAAAAACTACATTTTTAAACCTACCCCATACCTCTTCGACCCCATTGCCTATGCTCTCATTTGCCCATCTATCCTCCAATAGCTGTTTATATCTTACCCTAACTGCCTCCTCTTTTAGTTTATAAACCTTCACCTCTCTCTTCCCTGATGCTTCTATTCTCCTTGTATCCCATCTACCTTTTACTCTCAGTGTAGCTACAACTAGAAAGTGATCTGATATATCTGTGGCCCCTCTATAAACATGTACATCCTGAAGTCTACTCAACAGTCTTTTATCTACCAATACATAATCCAACAAACTACTGTCATTTCGCCCTACATCATATCGTGTATACTTATTTATCCTCTTTTTCTTAAAATATGTATTACCTATAACTAAACCCCTTTCTATACAAAGTTCAATCAAAGGGCTCCCATTATCATTTACACCTGGCACCCCAAACTTACCTACCACACCCTCTCTAAAAGTTTCTCCTACTTTAGCATTCAAGTCCCCTACCACAATTACTCTCTCACTTGGTTCAAAGGCTCCTATACATTCACTTAACATCTCCCAAAATCTCTCTCTCTCCTCTGCATTCCTCTCTTCTCCAGGTGCATACACGCTTATTATGACCCACTTCTCGCATCCAACCTTTACTTTAATCCACATAATTCTTGAATTTACACATTCATATTCTCTTTTCTCCTTCCATAACTGATCATTTAACATTACTGCTACCCCTTCCTTTGCTCTAACTCTCTCAGATACTCCAGATTTAATCCCATTTATTTCCCCCCACTGAAACTCTCCTACCCCCTTCAGCTTTGTTTCGCTTAGGGCCAGGACATCAAATTCTTTTCATTCATAACATCAGCAATCATCTGTTTCTTGTCATCCGCACTACATCCACGCACATTTAAGCAACCCAGTTTTATAAAGTTTTTCTTCTTCTCTTTTTTAGTAATTGTATACAGGAGAAGGGGTTACTAGCCCATTGCTCCCGGCATTTTAGTCGCCTCATACGACACGCATGGCTTACGGAGGAAAGATTCTTTTCCACTTCCCCATGGACAATAGAAGAAATAAAAAAGAACAAGAGCTATTTAGAAAAAGGAGAAAAACCTAGATGTATGTATATATATATATGCATGTGCGTGTCTGTGAAGTGTGACCAAAGTGTAAGTAGGAGTAGCAAGATATCCCTGTTATCTTAGCGTGTTTATGAGACAGAAAAAGAAACCAGCAATCCTACCATCATGCAAAACAGTTACAGGTTTTTGTTTCACAGTCATCTGGCAGGACGGTAGTACTTCCCTGGGTGGTTGCTGTCTACCAACCTACTACCTTCTACCAACCTACTACCTTCAATACCATTAATATCTGTTTGATTTATGTTTTTTTTTTTTAACACATTGGCCGTTTGTTAAATAGGTAACGAGAATTCCTTAAAATCATTTTTATATGTAGCAGTTCGAAGATGGCTTTTTGTGGTTGCTATATCTTTCAAAGCAGATTCTCATTAACTCCTGTGCACTAGTGAAACTACATAGCAAATAGTGATTTTCCGTTAAGAATTTTTTGTTAACCATCTTCAGGATTCTAGTATTTTATTGTACAATATTTTATTGGTTTTCTTCGTTTAATTTTTGTAATAACAGTTATACAGAAATATTTAGCATTATTTATTTATATTACAAATCATAAAATAAAACAGTATTCACAATAGGGAGTTGACCCATTCAATGGCTGTCATGTTGACCTGTGTCACTGAGGCCATGGTCCCTCACGTAGTTCTATGTCATGAGCTCAACTCACTCAGATAAGACGAGTGGTAAATTTTGACCTAGATATGTGAGAATGGGTCTGTGTGGTGAGTGTGCCTAGTATAAAGAAAATCCTGCCCTCCCCACAATGCATGATGGGAAGAAAAAAAAACTGACTGTGTGTACAGTTTAAAATAGCGATATTGACGTGTATTTTCGAATGTTTTTTGTAGTTTTACTGGCTGTTTTTTGGTGTCATTTAACAGAATGGAAGACATATTAGTGAAATAGAAATGATTTTTATATGATACAGGATGGAAAGTAGCTCAAAATAGCAGAAATATTAAATTTTTGCTGATATTCCAGAGGACATGAAAGGCCTCTCTACAACCTCCAGTTTGTTTTACGGGTTTTTAATAGGTCTGATTCAGTTACTGGGACACTAAACCATGATCAAACTTTCCTGGTTATATTTTATCTAAGAAATTTTTGTGCGAATAAAATTTTAAAATGGAAAACAAGTGTAATATAGGAGAGACCTGGGGATGTGACTGATTAACAGAGGAAATGTTTTTGTGGCAGGAATGTCTACATTGTATATTATGGACTCTTATTTTTAAATTGGTATTTTAATTTTGTGAAATTGGCCAAGTTACTGAATGCTGATCATTTTATCAGGTAGTTGAAATAATTGAATGGGTGGTTTCTTGTGCTCAATAGAATGGAAGACATACTAGTGAAACTGCTAAGAATTTAGTTGACTGAAACTATGGAATTGGCTTAAAATCGGACTCAAAGTTGGCAAAATTGCTGGTGTGTAAATTATGCTGAGACCACTAACTTCACACCTGTGTAATTCCATAAGGGTTCCATCAGATTTCTGACTTTTGGTGTCCTAACCTTGAGAAAACCATTCTCTACCATTTTTTTTTTTTTTTTTTTTTTTAACATTGAGAGGAAGTTTCATTTTAGGGGCCTGGACAGTGAAAGGGTTAAGGTATTGCATTTTTAAGGAGAGAATTTTTGTGTAATGGAGATTGGATAAATGACCATGGGTTGTAATATTTAGCTAGTACTTAAGCAATAATATATTTGTTATTTACTAAGAGTGGAGATGTAAATT